GCACCATTATTGGCGCAGGGATGTTTTCTCTGCCAGTGGTCATGTCCGGGGCGTGGTTTTTCTGGTCAATGGCGGCGCTGATCTTTACCTGGTTCTGTATGCTGCATTCCGGCTTGATGATTCTGGAAGCTAACCTGAATTACAGAATCGGTTCGAGTTTTGACACCATCACCAAAGATTTGCTGGGCAAAGGCTGGAACGTGGTCAACGGCATTTCCATTGCCTTTGTGCTCTATATCCTGACCTATGCCTATATTTCTGCCAGTGGTTCGATTCTGCATCACACCTTCGCAGAGATGTCACTAAACGTCCCGGCACGGGCGGCGGGTTTTGGTTTTGCATTGCTGGTAGCGTTTGTGGTGTGGTTGAGCACTAAAGCCGTCAGTCGCATGACAGCGATTGTGCTGGGGGCGAAAGTCATTACCTTCTTCCTCACCTTTGGTAGCCTGCTGGGGCATGTGCAGCCTGCGACATTGTTCAACGTCGCCGAAAGCAATGCGTCTTATGCACCGTATCTGTTGATGACCCTGCCGTTCTGTCTGGCATCGTTTGGTTATCACGGTAACGTGCCAAGCCTGATGAAGTATTACGGCAAAGATCCGAAAACCATCGTGAAATGTCTGGTGTACGGTACGCTGATGGCGCTGGCGCTGTATACCATCTGGTTGCTGGCGACGATGGGTAACATCCCGCGTCCGGAGTTTATCGGTATTGCAGAGAAGGGCGGTAATATTGATGTGCTGGTACAGGCGTTAAGCGGCGTACTGAACAGCCGTAGTCTGGATCTGCTGCTGGTCGTGTTCTCAAACTTTGCGGTAGCGAGTTCGTTCCTCGGCGTAACGCTGGGTTTGTTTGACTATCTGGCAGATCTGTTTGGTTTCGACGACTCGGCTGTGGGCCGCTTGAAAACGGCATTGCTGACCTTTGCCCCGCCAGTTGTGGGGGGGCTGTTGTTCCCGAACGGATTCCTGTACGCCATTGGTTATGCTGGTTTAGCGGCTACCATCTGGGCGGCAATTGTTCCGGCGCTGTTAGCCCGTGCATC